GAAGAACTAGAGAGTTGCTGGAGTTGAAAGACAATTAAGAGTCTGAGAAGTTCTGAAGAATGAAAGGAGTTCAGAGTTCTTGGGTGCAAACGCATTCAGGATGATCCAGAGACGTTTTGGGATTATAATTTCTGTTTGAAAACCACGTACGACTCTCTGAGGGTTTGGTAGTTCTCACGGAGACGCTGAAAAGAGTCAGAAAGGAACCTACGCCGACGCTGATTTCATCATCAAGGTAGATGGTTCTATTTTCGACCAAGTGTACCGTGGGCAAGCTGAGATCTGATAGAGCGTGCAATTTCTGGTCAAACAGATTAATTCCCTCACATATTTCTCTGTAAGATAACTCCATTTCATCTTAAAACTCTCCTCTTTCTCATAAAATCAGTACAGATATCTTAGGAATATCTGAAGCAAAGTCCTTGATCACCGCCGAGTGATCGATGTCAATTTTCTGTGAAACTTGTCTGTTATTATTTTCATATTTTGCCAAATTAATGTAAATGTTTGATGTTAAACTTTGATTCTGAAAATAAATGACCGCATTCATTTTGATGGGTCAAAGATAAATAACGTCTCGCGTTACATTTCTGTTAAATTCAAGGCACGACATTACACAGTCAGAAAGATGAGGAACTCGTGAAAAAGTATGCATATATACCTCAAGTATATGTATTACTACATAATTATACATAGATTAGGTATGGCAGCTCTATACAGCTCTGGGTGTAATCTGTTTGTCATATGTCTGGTGTTTTACCAGCCTGCATGCTGAAACCACGTGACACATTATAGCCAATACCGAAACTTGACACCAAAAGAAGAGTGACGTTTCAATACATACACCGACCGGTGCAGTTCGGTCAGTGCCATAAAAGAACCTCGGTTCGGTACTAAGCCCTATGTGTGGCCATGCTGGTGAGTTGTTCCTACAACATTCTGTACAAAGTTCAGAGACTGGATCAGATCTAGAAAGTCCTGAGTCAGTGACTTATAAGGGCAACAGACATGTATATTGAAATCTCCCAGAATCAAAACCCGATCATATCTGAGCAGAATCCAAGTTAAAAAGTCAGAGTTCAGCCATGAAGTCCTTATTATATTTATTATATTTGGGTGGCCTGTATAACACAGCAGAAAAAACAGGATTTGAACTAGGGATGCACCGATCAACTCTTTTTTTTTTCCCCGATCCGATACCCAAGTCTGAATATCGACCGATACCGATCCAGTTCCGATATCATGATCATCATTGATTTTATATGAGGCTGTAAAAATCTGCTCTCAAGTACAATTTGTACAAATATATGCATGCATGTTCAACTTGAGGTAAGTTTTATTAATCTTGGATAAGTTTTAAAGTTAGAATTAAATTCTAACACAAAACATGTTTTTTTTTATTCCTAGTTTTAAAGTGGATATTAAGGTGATTAATTTAAGTGACTGTTTAAAGTTATTTTATATTTTTTTAAATAAGGGGCAGATATAAGAATTTTTTTTCTTCTTTCTGCACTCTTCATTCAATGTTTTCTTTTTGATTTGTTTTTTGTTTCTTTTAAATGAATGAATAAATTAATTAAATAAAATGTTAAATGGCTTCAAACATCTGCTAAGTTCATGGCATAAACCAACAGACATGTTCCGGTTTTTAGTATTTTACATCACTTTATAATGTAGCTGTTTTTGTTTCTTTCTTTTTTCTATATACTGTATATATAATTTTCAAATCATGTTTTTTATGATTGTCTCCTGTTGTACTGATAAATATCTCTGGAGGGTAAACTATATCTTGGCTGCAAGTATCAAACTGTGAAATCCTTTGTTTTCTACAACTGATAGTGGTTGGTCATTAATTATGATGAAGTTTATCAACTTCTCTGTAAACATTTGAGCTCCGTGGTTTCAGCGACGTCTTCTTGTTCAGTCCGAAGCAGGCAGCCTGATTTGGGGCAGCCCCGCTCAGTCTGAGGAACAGACTGAGCGGGGTCGAGTTGGCCGCCCCGGGTTGAGCAAAGAGCAGAGCCCCGCTGAAGCCACGGAGCTCGAATGTCCAACGTAAAACTAACTTTACCACGGTTTAATGTGGCGCTATGGCTCTGCAGACAGTGAACATTGATGCATTGTTTTGTGTGTTTCTAGTGTAAAATACTTCCACACAGCGGACATGTTTAGATGAAAAGTTTGTTAAATAAAAGTAAAAAACTAAAATTATATTTGCTGCATTCATTGTTTGAAATATATTTACAGTTGAATAAAAACATAGGTGGTTGTTTTTTCTCATTTAATAAAAACTCGTATGGTAAACATTCATGAAACATGTGATTCATCACTTCAGGGAACATGTAAACATGATGAAATTGATCACATTTGTAATAAACATTTGATGTATTAACATGTTTCAGGTAAGAAATAAGCATGTAAAGAAACATCCTATTTTGAAGTAAACATTTAATGTAATTAAACATTTCTAGTAACAAACATGATGAACATAGTGTGAGGTAATACATTTCATAAAAAATTGCTACACAAAATGTTCAAATATAAGTTAACAGCCTGATTTACATATTTCTGTCTCCCTGGAAGCTGCAGTACAAACGTGCTCTGAGAAATATGTTTAAGAAGCTTCGTGCTTTCTGGAAACGAGCTTCACACAATTCCTGTTCTGGAGACACACGGACGACAGCCACGTCTTTCTGGCTCCACACAAGCTCACTGTGGTTTGATGATGTACCTGTGCAGAGTATGGATGATGTTTCTTCAGGTGAACTTCACTGCCTGTCTCCATGGCC